TTAGCCTTTTTTATTTAATGATATTCAGTCGCGTAAAATTGTGCATATGACTGGAGATCGCCACTGATTTTTTTCATGGCGCCAAATGGCCTCCGTTGAAAGCGTATGCTCATGCAAGTATGTCATTCTATGGAATGCAACTGTCTCCTTACCTACAACAATGAATGCGCTCAGTCGCTTAAGACTCAAGAACTTTTTCAGCTTCCAGATCATTTAAGAGTTCTCACCCAAAACACCACGGGAAGTGTTGTTTAGGGTTTAAAGAAACTCTGCACCACCAGACACGCAAACAGAAAGGTAAAGGAGACCACTACTCACAACAACCATACCCTGAGTTTCAGGAGAGAGAGAGAGAGAGAGAAACCACTGAACTAAGGAAAAATACGAGTAACGGTGTTAATTTTCACGAATTTAATCCCATCGTAACTGAAAACTCTTCCGACTAGGAATTTGTCAACATTTTGCGTCGGATAACATAATACGTGGGATCTCTCGTAATTATGGATTTCATCCTTTTGACAGCTCATTACTGTAAAGTGTGTAGAACAACTTATCACCCAGATCCACATTTACCTTCCTCTGCATGTATTCCTTTCTAAATTTTGTGCTGTACGGAGATTCATTGTTGAATTTCCGACTGGGGAAGTTTTCGCATTGCAAATACTTGCTGACAGCCAAGTAAATTCTGCCTACGCGTTATTCAAGTGTCTTATTATCAGTCATGTTTGTATGTATTCTTGTCGGATTTCAGCAGTTTATTCATTTATGCAGCGTTCCGAGCAATAAGCCAGGAACGCCTATATAAATCAAACATTTGTTTGTCCGTTTGTGTGACCACCGATGGAACGAAAGAATGCAGTTCTACAATCCATGCCTAAACAAAATTTGCATCTCACCTGATTCCCTTGTACACGTGCCTTGCTTGTGTTCACCATTACTTTCCCCCAATTGATCACATCCTTTTTTATTCACTCAGCCCGATTGGCGAATCATTCCGCCTACATTTTGTTTGAATTATTATCATTTTCTAGATTTGTTCGACCGGTTCAAAACACATCGACCCTATTCAACCGGGAGTTATGTTTGTTCCCCTTCCTCCGACTGGGCTACCCATTAGGCTGTTATGACTTAACATGATTCGTCCGGTTCATTCGTAACTTGGCTCACAATGATGAATGTTGTTCTCCCATGCGATTCGTTTTGTCCGCTTGCTGACTTAGATTGTGTGCTAGTGACAATGTTGATGACAGTATTTATGCTGCTGCGTAATCACTTTGTGTTGCTGAGTTTGTTATCTTCCACTTCCCTTTGATCTCACCGTGTCACTTCATAGTCAAATCAATACACCTATTGCTATCTCATACTACCAAGCAATCGGAAATGCGGGGCATTTCATTTCGTTCTTATCACAAGTGCTTCAACTTTTCACGCTCATTTGAAGTCCCCAGTTCGATTGTCTTTCGCTCTATAAAAGTGAGATGGGGAAAGTGTTCTTTCGTCTTATTCCTAGTTTATTGTACACTGTGATACTCATACCTTTTTGAATTATGCAGCTGTCGTTGACTCTCATTTCGTTTGTCATTCTGATCCCCACAACACGGTGGGAGTGACCATTGGTCTGTTGCAATCATTTGGGTTGGGAATTCTTGTTTCTGGCACATCTCACACAGAACTGTCATACAAATCATGTCTGTCTGCTCGTTTTCTTTTTTTACACCCGCTGCCCTCCCCCTTCCTCTGTTCATCCGTTGATTGATCCGTGTTGATCGTATTTTCTCTTTCTCCGTATGTGCGTGCGTGCATTTCTTTATCCCATCTCGATTTATCTCAAGAGTGAACGGGAACACTAAATTAGCCCGTCATATGCTAGGTCTCGAAGCACTCTCCAGACTTATATTTGTCTCAACAACTTGGTTTTGATAAAATACTTTCATCCATTTCCCTAATTAG